TAACGGAGGACATGACACAAAACCGAGCGCAATGGCGTTCTAGGATTCATATAGCCGACCCCACTTAGTGGGAAAAGGCTTTGTTGTTGTTGTTGTTGTTTGAAGGAAATGTGGAGGCCAAAATGAGTTAGGGGTGAGGATCGGAGATTAGGAAATACCAAAGCGCGACCGCTTTCGCTACCTAGGATCTATCTTGCAATAGAACGGAGAATTAGATGGAGATCTCAACCATAGAATACAAGTTGGATGGATGAAGTGGAAGAGTGCATCTGGCATGTTGTGTGACCGCCGTATGCCATTGAAGCTCAAGGGAAAATTTTATAAGACGGCAATAAGGCTGGCGATGCTGTATGGCACGGAATGTTGGGCGGTGAAGCATCAACACGTACATAAATGGATCTTCAGAATTCCAAAATAGGCCCAAAAAGGCTAGAATTAAAGATCAGGACCTCCTCTTCAAGTTCCAAGAAGACCCCAAGTCCAAAATCCATCATCTTCCAACCCAAAAGTCACAAATAAGCTCTGCAGCCCAATCTTCTAGCACTGAGCGTTGGGCATAAATTAATTCGCCACAATCAGATGCTTCGGGATAAAATTATGAAATTTTGATACAATCTTCTTGACAAATTCACGAACCCTCTCCGATTGGAATCACTCAAAAATTCTACCGTTTAATTACTTTATGCTTAGAACAAGTTTGCATATCCTACATCAAAAATATATAACAAAGCATCAAAATCTCACCAAAATAATAACCAAAATATACCAAGGATAGGGAGATAATATATAATATAAAATTGACTCATCACATGTCTATTAATTCTAGGATCGTTCATATTGGGAAGTTTATTCCTGGTTACTCTTAGGGTTTGGACACTCGTATCATTTCTTCTATAGGGATTCGACCTATCCCTCGCAAGGTGCCTACTATTCTTCCTGTGCTTTGGTCTCCTCCTTGGTTTCCTTGGATTAAACTTAATACATATGGTTTGTCTAAAGGAAATCCTGATCCTGCTGCATGTGGAGGAGTTTCAGGGATTGTCATGGTGAGTTTCTTAGGGTTTTTGCCAATGGATTGGTCATTGCAACTCCTTTTTTGAAGAATGATCAGCAATTATTATTGGTGTCGAGTTTGCATATCAACTGGGTTGGCATTGCCCTTGGTCGGAAAATGACTCTTCCAGTGTTATTTCTGCTCTCCAATCAACCGATTTTGATCATCCTTGGCATCTTTGTACACAATGGTCTACTTTTCTGGATCGCATTCGGAGTATGACCTTCTAAGTCTCTCACATATATCGCGAAGGAAATGTTGTTACGGATAAATTTGCTAACATGGGTTTGTCTTAGGGGTGGGCACTTAGAACCGAAAACCAAAACCAAAACACAAACCAAATCGAACTGCACCGAACGGTTTGATTTTGCGGTTTTGAAACGGTTTCGGTTTTGAAACCGAACTGCAACATAGAAAACGGTTTGGTTTCGGTTTTGGCTTTTGAAAACTGCACCGAAACCAAACCGCACCGCAAATATTAATAAACATTTAATTAAATGTCCATATTAGATTTTATGTTTTAATTGGTTGTTTGTTAGAATCCATACACTTAGTATGGACTCAACCACACTAGAATATCATCATTCATCACTTTCTTTCGTTCATTAACTTGAAGGACCTTTGTTATTTAATTTATACCATCACACCACACACACACACATATATATACAAGGGTGGACTAATCTTGTTATCAAGAGTCGAACAATCATCTAATGAAGTCCACTCATTTGAAGCATGATATCACATATTCTAGTATGAAAGTTTCGCTCACCTTTAATGAATTCAAAGTTATTCAACTTGTTTTATGTTATACCTTGTACGGGACACCCTTTTGTTGCACAAGCATGTTTTAACATCACAACTGCATGCAACATGCTAATTGTTTACATAACAAATGTTTTTTCCTATTGCTACTGGGAAATACTTATTAATATGTTAAATTGCAAATTGTACATTTTTTCTTAAAAACCAAACTGAAACCATTTGAAACCGCACTGAACCGAACCAAACGGTTTGGTTTCATTTCGATTTTGGCTTCAAAACCGCACCAAACCGAACCGCAAAAAATTTCGGTTTTGGTTTTGGTTTCACTCAAAACCGTACCAAACCAAACCGTGCCCACCCCTAGTTTGTCTTCTCCAACTTGGTGTGGCATGACTCCCTTTTGCCAGCAGCTTGTGCTGCTTTGTTTTCATACTATGTTGGCTTGCCTAGCTTCTGCTTCTCAAACTGATGTGCATCTCGCCGTGCAAGTATGTCTCCATTTCTTGTTTTTTCCTACCCTTGTGGTGTTGTTTGACTTGTTTTGCAGGTTTTAGACCTTTTCGGTTTGGTTTTAGAGGGGTTAGGTTTCATGTCCCCCATCTTTTCCTTGTATCATTTTTGTTTTTGTTTCTAGAGGGGTAAGGTATATGTCCCCCTTCTTATTCATGTTCTTTTTCTACTTTTCTTGGTATAATGAGGGGTAAAGTTTATGCCCCACCTAATTAGGTGTAACTTATTTTTTTCATTATCAATAAAATATCCCTCGTACTGTCAAGGTTTTCTTAAAATAAATAAATAAAGAAAACCAAACTTTCTCTTCGGTTATTTCAATTTGGGGGCATACTAAGGGCTAGTTTGGTATTGTTGTGCTTTGAAAAAAAAAAGTTGATTCTGCTGTGTTGTGAGAATAAGCGGTTGTGAAATAAAGCAGCATAGTGTTTGGTAAGTTTTTTTGTAAAAGTGCTTTTGGAAAAAAAAAGCTGTATGATAGTGTTTAGTAAACTTTTATGTAAAACAGCTGTGACTCGCTTCTTGAAAGAAAAAAAAGCTGGTTTTGAGAAGCTGCATTTTGCTGCTTCAGCTTTTTGCCACTTTTCAGCTTAAAATGACAGTGACTTTGAAAATAATCTGAGTTACCAAACACAAATTTTACTCCAGTTTTTTTTCATCCTAGCTTGTTTTTAAAATCACCTCAACCCCAAACTGGGGCTAAGTATCATATTGTACAAGAGAAATCTTAGTTTGTTAATTTTATTACAGCTGCCAGTAGTTAGTTAGAATCTTTTGTAAGCACAAGCGTGTGCAGTAATCTAAGTTTAAATACCCCTGTTATATTATTATTCTTATCAATGAAAGTATAATTTTCCTAATAGAATCTACATGGCTGTAGCCAACCATTTTTTTTTCTGTTTCGTTTTAATTGCATGGTCAACGAATTGGAAGCTGCCTCCCCCAAGTAATTACAAGATATAAATTGTTTGTCCTCGCGGCCGGCCTGACTTTGAAGTCTTGTTCCATCTATCTAGAACCAGCAGGTAAAAATGGGATAGAATTTGTGGTTTGCTTGACTTTGAAATCTTCCTCATCTGTGCAGCACACAAGTTTAACCCACTCCTTCCCCTTTAGTTAGATAACATTTTTTTTTTTTCTGTTTTGTTTTAATTGCATGGTCAACGAATTGGAAACTGCCTCCCCCAAGTAATTATAAGATATAAATTGTTCGTCCTCGCGGCCGGCCTGAGTTTGAAGTCTTGTTCCATCTATCTAGAACCAGCAGGTAAAAATGGGATAGAATTTGTGGTTTGCTTGACTTTGAAATCTTCCTCCAGCTGTGCAGCACACAAGTTTAAATTTATGGCGATAACCTATGCTTTTACATATATATATATATAGTTTTGAATGTTGAAATAGCATTGCCATGCCTTGGATGAATTAATTTCAACAAAAAACTAGATGTGGCAAGTACCTGTAAAGATTTCCATGTCTCTCTCAAACAAAGAAAATAGAGGAATATAAACAAAACGAGGGAGGACAAACAAAGCCAAAACAAGGGAGAAGAAACAATACAATATGTAAAACTGTTTGATTCAGCCACTTAGTACTACAATATAGTGGTATTCATTTTCACTTGTAAGTAAGAGATCTTAGGTTTGGTTCTATTAAAAACGAATTTGAACCGTATTATATTTAGTCCATTGCAAGGCTAAGGCCACCCCCTCTCTCTTAGTATAGATAATATCGTTTGCTCAAAAAAAAAAAAAAACTGTTTGATTCAATGTTGATTTCCCATTTAATTTTGTTTTCATGTTGACTCTTAACCTCGACTGATTACGATGGTGATGTCAAATTATCAGAAAAACAAGCCAAAGGTTCACTTCCATCAACATCGATATTTTTTTTCAACTTGTTAACTATCACTTGCATAGTAGGACAAGCGTGAGGTTTTATCATAAAAAACCTCGATTTTAGTTTTAGTGGGGTTAGGATATTTACACTCTTCTTTTCTCAAAGTAACGGCTATCCCATTTAAAGGAAGCAAGAGCAAAGTCTATTCAGTTCAACTGTGATGAACAATCAAGTGCACTAATTTAACAGTCATCACCAAGAATTAATAAACTGGATCAAAATCTTCATTTGGCATAAATTTCGTTTTTACAGAAACTGAAGGAACTGAGGAGTAGCTGTCTTTCCATATCCTTATCAATCAAAGAAAATTGAGCGATAATATGTAAACAGAACTTGACCAATCCATGAAAAAACAGCAAACATTTAAAAATCAAAGACAAAAATTAGTAAACGTTCATGTTTTCAAACAAACAGAGGAGTACAAACTCATAAAAGCAAAGAGCTAATTTTTTCACAAACCAAAGCCAAAACAAGGGAGAACAAACAAAAGAAGCACAATTAACCATAATAACCCCTTTTCCTTGGTCGTGTGCATGTCTGAATGTCCATCTGAGAAAAGTGTTAAAATGGAATTCATTCTTATCGTTTTTTAAGCAACCTCGACGGTACAAGAAAATTTATTAACCATAATGTAGAAAGACACAAAATAAATTCCAAAACTAACTACAACACAAGTCATAAATTAAAATGCGAAAACATAAAGCATAGTTTTTATTCGTTGCATCTTACCCTAAGCATAACATGGAGTCCAGCTGCATTGCTTCTCACAACCATTTCAACGTCTCCACCTCTGATTTATGTGAACATGTCTTCGATGAGGACCAATTCTTTCTTCAAGTTGAGGGAATATCTTCACAAGGATTTTATACATAGTCCTGTAATACCATTTACTCCATCTTTTGAAGAACACAAGTGACCCAACAGCAACTGCAAAGCCAAATGCAAATCCAATTTCGATACTAATAAGATCCCAATCAATCTCATTTGTAGAATTTGGATGGCTTCCGTTAAATGTTGGTGGTGGTGACAGTCCTGCCTTGTTATCTACCGTCAATGGAGGCCCCCATAACTCTTTGTTCCCTGTAAATGAGTCTCTTGGAAATGTTGAAATTTGAGTACCAGCTGGGATCTTGCCGGCAAGTTGATTATTTGAAAGATTCAAGAATGCAAGGAAATTAAGCTTTGCCAGTTGTTGTGGGATTTGCCCGCTCAGCTTGTTTTGTGACAGGTCCAAAGACTCGAGTTGTCGCATGTTACCAAATGATGATGGGATTTCACCTGTGAAAGCGTTACTCGACAAGTTGAGCAAATATAGTGATTTCAAATCTCCCATTTCCTTGGGTATTGGCCCACTGAAATTGTTGCATGAGAAGTCAATCAAGGTCAAGATAGTAAGAATCTTTGCCAGATCACTCTTTAAACCTTTGCTTGTAATCGTTATAGCATGCTCATAAAAAAATTCACCCCCTCCTCCATGAAGGTTTTCACCTTGAAAAACACTGACTGTCGACGGGAAACCAATATCTTTGTTATCTTTCATTGCTTGCCATGATGTCAGAGAGAATCCCGGTACTTCACCATTGAAATTGTTGTATGCTAAGTCTATGATTTGAAGAACGGGCCAGGTGCCATTGGTCTTCACTACTGGACATCCAATGCCTCCATAGAAATTGTTGGACCGCAAAGCAAGAACGCTCAAGGTGGAGACGTTCTTCAACAAGCATGGGAAGGTGTCTGTTATCTGATTCTCTTCAAGGTTTAAAAATCTTAACCTTCTGCACATGGCTAGAGACTTTGGTAACTGACCTCTGATCTGATTTTGGCTGAGGTCTAGAGTTTCTAATGAGTCACATTTTTCAGGAATAGTAATAGTTCCAGCAATGTTGTTTTTCCTCACATTAAGTATCCTGAGTGTACTCATTGCAGCCAAGCATTGGGGAATCTCGCCACTCAGAGTATTATTGGACAAATCAAGAGTGAGAAGATCACTTGCATTGCATATTGAGATTGGAATACTAGAACTGAAATGATTGTTTGAGTAATCCAGATAATGGGCATATGGTGGAACAATTGAAATTGGCCCCTTAAGCTGGTTCAAATGAAGGTCAAGCACAGATACATGAGATGTGGAGTTGAGGAAAGGAGTTTCTAGAGTTTCTAAAGAGTTACATGAAACATTTAGGTATTCGAGAGAATCAAACTTCCAAATCAATTGGGTAGTTGGCCTTGAACTTGGTTATCCGAAAGGTCCAAACTTCGTAAACTAGTTTGATTTCTCAAGAAAACTGGGAATGTTCTCAACTTGTTAGAAGCCAAACTGAAATCAATAATTTGAGGAAATGAAGAGTATGAGGAATTGCTGCCCTTGTATAAAACCAGCAAGCTATTGTGTGAAAGATCAATGCTCGTAAGTTTTGGCAGCTGATGAGGACCATTAAAAGGAAAGGCACTGAAATTATTTGAAGAAAGAGTGAGGGTTTCAAGCCCTTGAAAATTAAAGATAGACACGGGTACTGGTCCTTCTAAATTGTTGAAACTCAAATCAATGAAAGTAACTAAACTAGAAGAGACGTTAAAATTTTCAGGGAGTTGCCCAGAGAAATTATTATAGGAAAGTACCAAGTCTGGCAACAAGGGAAGAGAAAACAGAGATGACGGAATACTCCCCACCAGTTGATTGTTGTCCAAATGGAGATGTACCAGATTAATAAGGTTTTCCCAATGAATAGAACTAATTGGACCATTAAACAGGTTTGATGACGCGTCCAAATCAACCAATTTAGATAGGTTCCCGATTGACTTTGGGATTGATCCAGTGAAATTGCATTTGGAAAGGTCTAGTGTGGACAACATGTTGAGGTTGCCAATAGAGTCATGCAATAACCCTGAAAAGCTTGTCTCGCTTAAAATCAAGGATTGAAGAGATCCATTCTTGGGAAATTCTGGCAAAGAACCATGAAGTTCCGGATTAAAGGAGAGGTCAAGAGTTTGTAGAGTAGGTACCTGAAAAATCTGCTTTGGAACTGCTCCACGTAAACCACAATTACATAAACTCAAGGTAGTCAACTTTGAAAAATTGGCAAAGAATCTTGGAACCGGAGCAGAGATATTGTTTCCGTCCAAGTTCAACACCGTTAGGTTTGAAAAGTTGGAAAAGAATCCTGGAATTGGACCGGAGATGTTGTTGCCAAAACCACCCAATTGAATCACTGATAGAGACTGAAGCTTAGCGAGGGATTGATCGATAGGACCCGAAAGATTAGTTCGAGATAAGCTCAACACCCTTAGGTTTGGCAGTGAAGATGATATCGCTTGGCACCAGTGAGTCTTCTCTACTGATATATCTACACCGTCAAGATAAAGCTCTATAAGCTCTGTGAGGTTCTGAAAGAGCATGCTGAACTTCGGGCTTTCAAGTGGTTTGCGGCGCCCGTTATTGTAACGTTGAGAAATATCAAGAACCTCCAACCTTGTCAAGCGTGAAATCTCAATGGGATTTTTCCCGAAATAAACGTTATTTGATAAATTTAGATACCTCAAGTTTGTCAGCTTTCCGATTGCAGATGGAATGAGAGAGCCGTCAACAAAATGGTTATCGGCCAAGTTGAGGCTTTGAAGATGCTGAAGATCGAAGAGACTGCTGGAGCTGTCAATGCCACCCGAGATGTATTGGCTGCTAATGTCAAGACCGACAACACGCCCGTTGGTACCGCAAGAAACACCGACCCAAGAACAACAGTCGGTACTTGAATTCCACGATATAAACTTGGACAAAACCGGAGAATATCCCACTGAATCATCAGCATCATCAAACGTAAGGTTTTTCTTCAAATGGAGCAATGACAGTTGCTGGTCTTTGACACACTGGCTGTACACTTAGGCCTGGCAAACGGGTCGTGTCAGTCGTGTTCGTGTAACACCTGTTATCTTAACGGGTCGTGTCGTGTCACACCCGTTATCTTAACGGGTCCTTAACAGGTCGTGTCACTTTACCCAACGGGTAAAGTGACCCGACCCGTTATGACCCGTTAAGAAAAATATATTTTTTTTCTTAAATTTGCACATACCACACATTGCCACATAAATATTACTTCAAAACATTAAAACACATTTGTCGTTTAAGTACTACATCTACACTCGAAAATAAGAGCCTAATAAAAAAATAATACATACACTACTAATCTATTACAAATTTTAAATGTGCAAGGATATGCAAAATGAAACAGTTTTTGTTTTCAAAGTTGTGAAATCTTTCTCAAAAGTTTAAACCTCAATTTACAAAATCCTCGATTTACATCGATCATCATGAAATTGCATTGGAACTTTGGTTTGATCTATTACCTTCAAGAGTTATGTTGATGATGTCTTCAGTAAGGTTTTCCACGTCATAACTATCTTCTGCATAAACTAAGCATAGAAAAACCAAACATTAAAAATCATTCAAATTATGAGAAGTTTACCAAAATAATTATGAAAAAAAATAAAACAATAGTACTATACCATACTTTTATTAAGTATAAACATAAGATTTTGTGGTATCCACTAGTGTAAGTATTTTAAATTGAAGATCGAATTCAATCATTGTATTCATATAAGGTCAAGGAGTGTAGTTGTAAAAAATCATCAAAATCGGAGTGAAATTAACCGTTAAATCGTGATTTTTCGTTTATAACCGTCGAAAAGTTTTGTCCCGTTACGTGCTCTCTGAATGTTTGTTTTTTGCAATTTTTGGCGTATGCGATCTCGAAATATATACAAACATGTTTGACGGTTGGATCATTGAAACTAGTTTCGTAGAATGAGTATCCCATCAAAACAATAGATTCACTAATACTTAAGAGTTTATTCATACTTTTATTAAGTATAACATAAGATTTTGTGGTTTCCACTAATGTAAATATTTTAAATTGAAGATCGAATTCAATCATTGTATTCATATAAGGTCAAGGAGTGTGGTTGTAAATAATCATCAAAATCGGAGTTAAAATGACCGTTAAATCGTGATTTTTCGTTTATAACCGTCGAAATGTTTTGTCCCGTTACTTGATCTCTGAATGTTTGTTTTTTTCAATTTTTGGTGTATGCGATCTCGAAGTATATATAAACATGTTTGACGGTTGGATCATTGAAACTAGTTTCGTAGAATGAGTATCCCATCAAAACAATAGATTCACTAATACGTAATAGTTTATTCATACTTTTATTAAGTATAACATAAGATTTTGTGGTTTCCACTAGTGTAAATATTTTAAATTGAAGATCGAATTCAATCATTGTATTCATATAAGGTCAAGGAGTGTAGCTGCAAAAAATCATCAAAATCAGAGTTAAAATGACCGTTAAATCGTGATTTTTCTTTTTATAACCGTCAAAAAGTTTTGTCCTGTTAATTGATCTCTGAATGTTTGTTTTTTGTAATTTTTGACGTATGCGATCTCGAAGTATATATAAACATGTTTGACGGTTGGATCTTTGAAATTAGTTTCGTAGAATGAGTATCCCATCAAAACGATAGATTCACTAATACTTAATAGTTTATTCATATTTTTATTAAGTATAACATAAGATTTTGTGGTATCCACTAGTGTAAATATTTTAAATTAAAGATCGAATTCAATCATTGTATTCATATAGGGTCAAGGAGTGTAGTTGTAAAAAATCATCAAAATCGGAGTTAAATTAACCGTTAAATCGTGATTTTTCGTTTATAACCGTCGAAAAGTTTTGTCCCGTTACTTTCTCTCTGAATGTTTTTTTTTTGCAATTTTTGGCGTATGCGATCTCGAAATATATACAAACATGTTTGACGGTTGGATCATTGAAACTAGTTTCGTAGAATGAGTATCCCATTAAAACAATAGATTCACTAATACTTAAGAGTTTATTCATACTTTTATTAAGTATAACATAAGATTTTGTGGTATCCACTAGTGTAAATATTTTAAATCGAAGATCGAATTCAATCATTGTATTCATATAAGTTCAAGGAATGTAGTTGTAAAAAATCATCAAAATTGGAGTTAAATTAACCGTTAAATCGTGATTTTTCACTTATAACCGTTTAAAAGTTTTGTCCCGTTACTTGCTCTCTGAATGTTTGTTTTTTGCAATTTTTGGCGTATGCGATCTCGAAATATATAAAAACATGTTTGACGGTTGGATCATTGAAACTAGTTTCGTAGAATGAGTATCCCATCAAAACAATAGATTCACTAATACTTAATAGTTTATTCATACTTTTATTAAGTATAATATAAGATTTTGTGGTATCCACTAGTGTAAATATTTTAAATTGAAGATCGAATTCAATCATTGTATTCATATAAGGTCAAGGAGTGTAGTTGTAAAAAATCATCAAAATCGGAGTGAAATTAACCGTTAAATCGTGATTTTTCGTTTATAACCGTCGAAAAGTTTTGTCCCGTTACGTTCTCTCTGAATGTTTGTTTTTTGCAATTTTTGGCGTATGCGATCTCGAAATATATACAAACATGTTTGACGGTTGGATCATTGAAACTAGTTTCGTAGAATGAGTATCCCATCAAAACAATATATTCACTAATACTTAATAGTTTATTCATACTTTTATTAAGTATAATATAAGATTTTGTGGTATCCACTAGTGTAAATATTTTAAATTGAATATCGAATTCAATCATTGTATTCATATAAGGTCAAGGAGTGTAGCTGCAAAAAATCATCAAAATCAGAGTTAAAATGACCGTTAAATCGTGATTTTTCGTTTATAACCGTCGAAATGTTTTGTCCCGTTACTTGATCTCTGAATGTTTGTTTTTTTCAATTTTTGGCGTATGCGATCTCGAAGTATATATAAATATGTTTGACGGTTGGATCATTGAAACTAGTTTCGTAGAATGAGTATCCCATCAAAACAATATATTCACTAATACTTAATAGTTTATTCATACTTTTATTAAGTATAATATAAGATTTTGTGGTATCCACTAGTGTAAATATTTTAAATTGAATATCGAATTCAATCATTGTATTCATATAAGGTCAAGGAGTGTAGCTGCAAAAAATCATCAAAATCAGAGTTAAAATGACCGTTAAATCGTGATTTTTCTTTTTATAACCGTCGAAAAGTTTTGTCCCGTTAATTGATCTCTGAATATTTGTTTTTTGTAATTTTTGACGTATGCGATATCGAAGTATATACAAACATGTTTGACGGTTGGATCTTTGAAACTAATTTCGTAGAATGAGTATCCCATCAAAACAATAAATTCACTAATACTTAATAGTTTATTCATACTTTTATTAAGTATAACATAAGATTTTGTGGTATCCACTAGTGTAAATATTTTAAATTGAAGATCGAATTCAATCATTGTATTCATATAGGGTCAAGGAGTGTAGTTGTAAAAAATCATCAAAATCGGAGTTAAAATAACCGTTAAATCCTGATTTTTTGTTTATAACCGTCGAAAACTTTTGTCCCATTACTTGATCTCTGAATGTTTGTTTTTTGCAATTTTTGGCGTATGCGATCTCGAAGTATATACAAACATGTTTGACGGTTGGATCATTGAAACTAGTTTTGTAGAATGAGTATCCCATCAAAACAATAGATTCACTAATACTTAAGAGTTTATTCATACTTTTATTAAGTATAACATAATCCACTAGTGTAAATATTTTAAATTGAAGATCGAATTCAATCATTGTATTCGTATAGGGTCAAGGAGTGTGGTTGTAAAAAATCATCAAAATCGGAGTTAAAATGACCGTTAAATCGTGATTTTTCGTTTATAACCGTCGAAAAGTTTTGTCCCGTTACTTGCTCTCTGAATGTTTGTTTTTTGCAATTTTTGGCGTATGCGATCTCGAAGTATATACAAACATGTTTGACGGTTGGATCGTTGAAATTAGTTTCGTATAATTCGTATCCCATGAAGATCAATGGTGTGTGTGTGTGTGTATATATATATATTTATTTATTAAGTAGATTTAAATCTATTTATTTTGTATGTATAATTATTATAGTTTTTAGGGGTATAAAATTTAATATATATATATATATATATAATTATTATAGTTAATATTTTGGGTATAATTATTATAGTATATATAATTATTATAATTATTATAGTTAATTTAATATATATATATATATATATAATTATTATAGTTTTTAGGGGTATAAAATTGTTAAATTAATATATATATAATTATTATAGTATTTTTTTAGGGTTATAAATTATTAAATTAATATTCTGCTTATCGTGTATCGTGTTACCCACGTGTATACCCGAACAAACCCGTTATCTTAACAGGTGCTTATCGGGTTACCCGATAAGCACCCGTTTCGTTATCGTGTCGACCCGAACACTTGTTAATTTCGTGTCGTGTCGTGTCGGGTTATCGGGTCGTGTCAGGAATTGCCAGGCCTATGTACACTCCAGTTGTGATATTATCACAGATAATGAAGAAGAATAGGAGGACGAAAGATTGTAAAGTTTTCATTTTTGCAAGCTGATCAAGGGAAGTGTTTGGTGAAGAACTGAGGATTGTCGTGGTGGCCTTAAATTAATTTTCATCGCTGCTGACTTGACGAAGTCTATCTCCCATCTATATCTGTAAACCGTTGCTAGTAATATTAAAACGTTGCAGAAATGTATTAGACAATGATGTGCCTTTAATGTCGTGGAAAAATCTTCCGCAGGAGATTTTTGGTTGGCATGAGTTGCTGACTTTGAAGTATTTCCCCCATTTTTCTAGTGGAGTAGGTTTGAACTAAGATAGGTGTAGGGCCGGAGAGAGATTTTATCTTAATTCACATGGCGATAGGGGCAGAGAGAGAAACGATATATCAAATTATTATCAATTGTAGGAACGACGGATTCCCAATATGATACCTACTTCGATTACTTAATTCAATTATTGATATTATTGGGTCATCCAAAGTTTCTTGTCAAAATTGCATTGCCAATACGACGCATTTGTTGACAGCGGGAGTAAAGAATTCAATTTAGTTTTGGATTGGGTCATATTTTTGTGTCACTGTGAGAATAGAACAAACAGTCGAAAATCGAAGACAAAACAAACTAAATGTTCATGTTATCAAACAAAAAAGGAGCTACATGCAAAACACATAAATGCAAAGATCTAATTTCCAAAAACCAAAGCCAAAACAAGCGATTACAACAAAAGAAGAATATATAACCAAGTAAAATTGTTTGATTCATTGTTGATTTCCTATGCATTTTCATTTGCTTGTTGACTTTTGATCACTGCTCGACTAATTACGATGTGGAAATCAACTACATAGCGTAGAGAAAAGCAACTAGATAGCGGAGAGAAGAAGGCATGAAATTTTGTCTCTACAAAGATCAGTCTATCTATATATAAGACCTGAAGAAAGTTGAGGTTCCATCATAAACATAAAACCAATTAGCAATATGGGGAATAACTCAATCTCTTATAAGTATATGCAAGATCTCTTCTCTCATTAATGTGAGATTCATTCTCAACAAGACTACATTTTCATGAAACAAATTAATATAATCTCATTGCAAAATTAATATCATCGCAAGTTTTGTTTTGTTCTTTTTCTTGTCAAGGCCATTTTTATTTTTCTGATCTACATTATTGTGCTTCGGTTCGGACAAATAAGTCTTCATCCAAAAACCAAAGCAAAATAGTATGAATTCCCTTTAAAATTCAGACATTATAATAGGCTCAGTTCAACTAAGTTGACTACTAATTGCAGCAATTCAGGCAGGTGGAGAATTTGTACCGAGACTGAAAATAACAGAGAGCTAATATTATTTGGGATACAGGTTTAGCTAAGTTCATTTCATAATAGAAAATTGATAACAAATTTACAGACTTAGGGTTCTATATATGTTTGAATATCCATCCTAGAAAATTGTTAAAAAGGAAATGGAAAGGTTAGCATTGGGGACGAATTGACACTTATTAGTATTACAAAACCTCAACGGTACAAGGAAATTTACTGAAAGTAAAATAGAACGATACAAAATGACTTCCAAAACTAACTACAACATAGTTAAATTAAAATGTGACAGTGAAACCATAAAGCACAGTTCATATATTTCTTGACTCGTAAAATACCTGGGCATAAGCTGAGTATGCTTTCACCCTTGGATCATGAGTGTTTTCAAGGGCTTCTGTCAAGCAACAAACAATTGCATTGTCTGCTGCAGAAGCTGGTATGTGGCTGCTGCAGAAGCAACACCTCAGACCAAATGGCTCAGATTTGGGCTAAAATATTTTGGTGAAGTTCAATTGGAAGCTACTCCGCTGATGTGTGACAATTGTCAGCAATTGCAATGACTAAGAACTCTGTGTTTCATCACAAGACAAGGCACATCAAAAGGAAGTACCATTTCATCAGGACACATTGTAGCAAAATGTGATCCAACAACTTTACTGCAAAACTGACGACCAGGTGGCTGATATCTTTACCAAGCCACAGCCTAAAGAGAGGTTCGCATATGTCAGAGGATTGCTTGGAATCAAGTCTGGAAACAGCTTAAATGGGAGTGTTGAAATGTAAGCTGGGTTGCAGCCTTGAGTTTCAAAGACAAAACTGAGAGGCTTAAACCTCAATAACGGCTAGTTTTGTTTAAAGGAGTAACAGCTACATTTTGATACGATCAGCAGGTATAATCCTAGTCACTTGGAACAGATGTAGGGCTAGGATTAGGTCATGTGAATGGCTGAGATTTACACATCCACTACCTGCATTTCTTGCATATATGAATGTCCGCTTTTTTTATGATAAAATGAAATACTCAGTGCTGCCACCATGTTTTGCAAGCTGAAATCCCAATGAAATTCTTTTTGTTTTGTTAATCATTCCTGCACCATTTCTCCCTTATAATCCAAATTCTAACAAGATATAGCTCTGTGAAACCTGTGAGGTTGTGAAAGATCGTGCTTAAATTAGGGGTCTCAAGTGGCATGTACCACGGATTGTAAGATTAAGAAATATCAAGGACAACCAACCTTGTCAATTGTGAAATCTCAAGTGGAATTTTCCCCTAGACGCAACAAAAGTTGCATGATAAATTTAGGTACCTCAAGTTTGTAAGCTTTCCAATTGCAGATGGAATGCGAGAACCATAGCCAAATCGGCTATTGGCTAAATTGAGGCCTTGAAGCTGTTGAAGACCAAAGAGATTGCTCGAATTGTCAATCCCACTGGAGAAAGTTTGGTTGCTAATGTCCAGGCCAACAACATGTCCATTATTACTGCAAGTAACACTGAACCAAGAAAAACAGTCGGTACTTCAACGATCCGAACCGTCAATCTTTTAGGTATTTCATTAAGGATCATATCTAGAAAAAATGTCCAAATCTAAAACCATATAACTCTTAGATTACGTATTAGTGTTTCTTTGTAGAATGGAATTTATCCATTTTCTTCACTATAAGTCTACAAATGAATGTCTGATTGGTTTTGGATTTGCCTAATTTTTGTAAAAATGATCTTTTAATGATTTTATAAAAGATAAATGGTTTGGATCGTTAAAATACAATACGGAGTAGGCCCACAAAACGGGTATAGAAAATTGTGTAAAAAAAAATGGTGAAACGAATTAGCCATATATATATATGTGTGTGTTTAAAATTCTTCAATAAAGGTCATCAGCAATTTAATCCAATTTAGGATTTGGCTCCTCTCTTTCATTGAAGATCAAGGAATAATCAAAGCTTAACTTTTACAGAATCAAAGCCCATCCTTTTTGGGAAACATCAACAGCACCGCCATCTTTAATTGGGCTGGACTTTAGTGATCCCGATCCTTTAAAGTTGCACCGCTCCATCTTGAACTTGCTCTAGCTCATCACTGCTCACGGCCCACTCGAAAATTCGTTGTGTTTCTCAAATTTAAGACTCAAATTACCTTTTCTACTCGTACAAATCATATTAAATTCAACAATATAACATAAAATAAAAGAAATACAATCCCTTTGAATTATTTATTTTGCCATATTTTTCATATTAATTTATTAATTTTATATTTGACATTTCCGCACATCAGAACGTCAATGGTACGAGTTCAAGGATATTTATTGCAAATCAAGCTGAGAAATACAAAACAAAATATTTCAAAACCAACTAGAAGGGCATAATTAATTAAAATGCTACACTAAAAATCACAGTTCTTATTTCATTGGGATTATTTAGGGGGTTTATTTCACATTGAATTTCAATGATTTTGAACCATTTATTCTTCCTCAAGTCTTGGTTACACTTGCTGTCAACTTGGATACACCGTGGCAGCCGGGCTAACTCAGCAATCAAGAAAGAAGAAAAATCGGAGCACAGTTTTCATTTTTGTATATTATAATCTTTGTGAGAAGTTCAGGGAAAGTGAAAAAAAAGGAGGAAAATTTCGTTTAGTTTCATTAAATATTAATGATTTTATGGAATTGGAAAAAGCTTCCATGCATGAAATGTGTGGTTGGCTTGACTTATCAAGTCTTTTATTCTCTTCTCCTCTCTGCATTAACCAGAAAAAGTATGGACTAGAGAAAGAGAAAGAAAGAAAGAGAAAGAAAGAGGGGGAGGGGGAGGGGGCGGGTGTGGGGTGGGTGGGCCAGGGCCAACATTGCATTCTGTGTTTGCAAGGGTTTTGTTGAGAGTATGAATTTTACATTGAAAAAAAATAAAAGATCTTATATTTGTTTATAAATAATTTGGCTACTCTCCATACTGTTAATTGGTTTTATAGTAGAACTTCAATTTTCTTTATGGTATCAAAACAAATTATTCTACGTGCGAAACTCAACAGTCAACATGTTCGAAATCATCCGATTTGTGTCCTCCAAGTGAAGGATGATGAATAATCACAGCTTTCTTCCCACTTACCAAATTAGAACAAAGTTGAGATTCCCTTATTTCTTTGATCTGTGATTCATACTCTCAATGCACCCTTCACGTGTGGTAAGTTCTCCAACTTAACATGTAGACAACACAAATCAGGTGACGTGTGGCAGTTGGGCTTCAGACATATGACAACTTGCTCTGATATCATGAAATGCTACGGTTCTACCATAAAAGCTAATTGACAATATAGAGTATCTTGTTTCTAAGCATCTGTTAGTGACGAAAACTAGTTTGGGCATATAGTCGCACGAAACTAAGGATGACAGTTCAAACCATTAAACCTGATAATCGTAGATAATCGCCCGAATGGAATGGATTTGGGAATGAAAATTCGGTTATATTTCGGATATGGGGAAAAACCGAAAATATTATTAAGTTATTGTTTCGGATATGATTATTGTGGTTGTCGATTCATATCCATCCCTAAATCCGACCCGAATAGTACATATTACATATATAATACAATTTGTATAAAATATATAGTATTCTATAATATATATATATATATATATATATATATATATATATATATATATATATATATATATACACGCACACATACCCTTTAACAAGAGGGATCCCCATTTTTCTAATACCCTCTTGACCGTTAGATTGATTTTAATGAAATTTTGTGGTTGAGATTAAATCACAGGCCACACAATCTCAACAACACAATTTCATTAAAAGTCAATTTGACAGTCGAGGGTGTCCCCATTTTTTTAGAAAAATGGGGATCCCTCTTGTTAAA